AGGTATCTATATACTCTTTCTTGATTACCCTAACTATTTTTTCAAGACTAAATTTTGCACTTTTAACTTACATCTTGTTTATTGAATATAGATGAACTAAATTTCAATCTTCAACTCTATTAAAAATCAAACACAAATCATGAATTTCTTACCAATCTTCATGATATTCTTCTACAACGACATACATGATATTTCCTTTTTTAAATTATATACTAAGTTTATCTTACAGATATGAAACTTCCATCAACAAACTTTCTAACTCGTCTATACTGCAAAATCTACCTTAAAATCTATATCAGGGCCTCCACAACGTAAATAATACAGTTCTTCTAACAAAATTTTCATTGTGATATACCGAGACAGAATGGAGGTACCACATCATTTCTTCAGAATCATTACTCCTTTACAAAACCATAATACCCGTCTGGTTAGTCACACAACAATTTCTTTTCTCACATTTGAATATATGCATTCTTAATTTCTCTCTTATACTTTTTAATGTATATGTATAGATGTTTCCCATATCCTTTGTTGTAACGCCTCGAATTCTAATAACCCGAAACGTTACGAAACATGAATATACCTTGAAATAAACAGTCTTAATATAACGAGAAATTCTGTAAAAGATTGAATAACATTTAATCAAAAGATAAATTTAAATATGCGGAACGTTTGAAAACATATCATTCATCCAAAAATTATTAGAACAGTTAAAACTAATTAAAAATTTATAATGCACTCACAATTAGGTCAAAAATGATTAACCCATTATTAGTTCTAGTGTTTTTGAAAATTAAAATATTTCATGACGAGGATCCGTTGGTCCAATAGCAAATCCATCCACCGCCGTCTAGCATACTAATTATTACCTGAAAATTGTAAATAAGGGGATGAGTATAACGAATTATACTCAATGAGATACTTGCTACTCCACATTCAAGTCAAACATAAAATTACAAATAAATTATCTTACCAACATAACATGAGAATTATAACACCATGACAAATGATAATTCTAGCAAGCGCTGCAAAATAACGTGAAGGCTAAATTGTACCTTGAAAATACGTGAAGGCTAAATTGTGCCTTAAAATGTATCATGATTTCTCCCAAAGGAGCCTGAATTGAAGTAATTAAATTCATAATAACGTATTTGAAAAGATGTGGAAAAATCACTAATAACACTGAGTATCTCACATTTTGAAGATGAAAGTGGAGAATAAAATTGCAGAAATGTAATAACAATTCCAAAGCCGTAAAAAATCTAAATAATATAGAGGAATATTTTAAAGAGGGAGAGGTAATGGACGTGTAGTAGAATGTGGTTTTAGTGCTCTATTTATACTGTTGAAGTCGGGTAATCACGTGGGGGAAGTGGAATTTCAGCCATATTTAAATTCGTATTTCATGCAATCTTCTGAGAAATTGATTCATAATTCCCGATTGATATAGTATGACTGGAGATTAATTATTGATTTTCTGCCAATTTCTATATCAATTGCAATTACAACAAGGAAATGATAGGTATTACACTGCATGACTTTTACACGTGGACGGAGAAAACAAATCTGCCTCCTATTTGCATAATTTACTTTAATACAAACATCTTAAATTGTCAATCTCCTAATGGCTGAAAATTATAAAATGTATGCTTATTAATTAAATTAGAATTTCAGTCCAATCTTCCCAAAATTTGTTCCAATTAGGGGACACAATGATTACAATTATATGGACACGTGAAAGTTGTAATGAAATGCATGGGTTACTCATGTACTAAAGTCAAACATCAAATAATTCAAATTCCTTTGATTTCCATTTAACTAAATTTGTAAGCAGGAATTACGTTTTAATTGATTACCTCTTAATTAAAAATATATAATTATTAATACTTAACATAAAGACTTTGTTTAACCAAAACTTAAAATTCTAATTTATTTAGCTAAACTAGTGGTGGTAGTCAACTGGTGAAAAATCTAATCATTTAAAACTCTTATAAACATAATATTCTTTAGACGGCTAAAACTCGGGTTTAACTTGACCAAATAAAATTTTTCTTGAGTCCATAATTCGCCATTTAGTATGAGCTTCAAAATGAACCCAATATTGGTAGAGTAATTCTAACTCCTTCAATAGTTAACTATTTGGCCCATTTAATAAAGTATAAAATAATTTGATATTTTTTTTTTCAATTTGGTCCCTCAACTAATAAGATAACTATAGAGATAATCAATTAACTTGCATAAGAACTTAACCAAATATTGCATTCCTATTAAATGGAAAATAAAAATATGTGCAAGTTTAAGTTAAAAATTTGGGATTCTACAACCTACCCTCCTTAAAATAATTTCGTCCTCGAAATTTACCTTAGATTAGTTGAAAAATTCGGGATACTTGATTTTCATCTCATCTTCCTTTTCCCAAGTTGCTTCTTCCACTCCATGGTTATGCCATAGGACCTTGATTAAGGGAATATCCCTATTTCTCAGTACATGAACCTTTCTTTCTAGTATCCTCAATGGCATTTCTTCATAGGTTAAATCATGTTGCACATCTAAATTTTGAAGGTTGATCACATGATTAGGATCCTATAAGTATTTTCGCAACATTGATACGTGAAAAACATTATGCACTGCTGAAAGTTCTGGTGGCAGTGCCAATCTAAATGCCACATCTCCGATTCTTTCTAACACATCGAATGGTCCAATGAATCTTGGTCTGAATTTTCCTTTCTTTCCAAATCTAAGTACTCCCTTCATTGGAGCTACTTTCAGAAATACCTTGTCACGAACTTGGAACTTGAGATCTTTTCTTCTTCTATCGGCATAGCTTTTCTGTCTGTCTTGAGCAACCTTAATTCTATCTCGAATCTTTTCCACGGCTTGTATGGTTCGATCTATGATCTCAGGTCCAAGAATCCTCGTTTTTCCAATCTCATCCCAATAGATAGGTGATCTAAACTTCCTACTGTATAGTGCCTCGTAAGGTGCCATGCCTATAGTTGCTTGAAAGCTATTGTTATAGGTAAATTCTACTAAAGGCAAGTGTGATTCCCAGCTACCACCAAGATCTAGTACACAAGCTCTTAACATATCTTCAAGTATCTGAATTGTCCTTTCAGATTGTCCATCAGTCTGTGGGTGATATGCAGTACTAAATTTCAGTTTTGTTCCATAGCATTTTGTAGGCTTTTCCAAAATTTTGACGTGAATCTCGAGTCTCTATCTGAAATAATAGAAACAGGAACCCGTGTAACCTGACTATTTCATTGACATAAATCTGTGCATATTGCTCCATGGTAAATGTCATCTTAACTGGAAGAAAATAGGCTGACTTTGTAAGACGATCCACTATTACCCAGATAGTATTGTTCCCTTTAGCCGATCTCGGAAGTCCTACCACGAAATCCATGGTAATGTGTTCCCATTTCCACTCCAGTATATCTAGTGGTCTAAGCAACCCTGAAGGTCTCTGATGTTTAGCTTTTACTTGCTGACAGATGATACATTTACTTACAAAAAGTCCTATTTCTCTTTTCATATTTCTCCACCAAAACGTATTTCGAAGGTCTAGATACATTTTTGTATTTCCTGGATGTGCTGTATAAGCGGTAGAGTGTGCTTCTTCAAGAATTTCTTTCCTTAATCCCTTATCTTTAGGAACACATATTCCGCCTTTATACATAAGTATCTTATCATCAGTTATCGCAAATCCCTCTTGCTTATCTGTCCCAATTCCAGCCATGATTTTACACAAAAATAGGTTATCCTTTTGAGCTTCTCTAATCCGTTCTCTAAGAGTTGGTTGAACCATTAGAGCCGCAACAATGGCTGACTTCTGTACCGAAGGTATAACCACCTCTAGCCTCAAATTTTCAAATTCCTTAGCTAACTCTTTTTGAGTAGTTGGAAATGTCAACTTTCCAGCTGTCTTTCTACCCAGAGCATCAGCAACTACGTTAGCTTTACCTGGGTGGTAAAGAATGGTGCAGTCATAGTCTTTAACCAACTTTAGCCATCTCCTTTGTCTCATGTTTAGCTCCTTTTGAGTAAAGAAGTACTTGAGACTTTTGTGATTGGTGTATATCTTACATTTATCGCCATATAGATAGTGACGCTATATTTTTGGTGCGTGCTGCGAGTTCTAAGTCATAAGTTGGGTAACTCTGCTCATATGGTTTCAACTGTCTAGAGGCATAGGCAATGACCTTTCCATGTTGCATTAACACACATCCCAAACCTTGTTTAGAAGCATCGCTGTATATAACAAAACCTTCGGAACCATCTGGTATTGTTAATACTAGTGCTGAAACCAATCTTTGCTTCAATTCTTGAAAACTGCTTTCACACTTATCCGACTATTGAAACTTTACTCCCTTTCTAGTTAATTGTGTCAATGGTCCAGCTATCTTAGAAAACCCTTCAATAAATCTCCGGTAATAGCCAGCTAGACCCAAGAGACTACGAACTTCACCTACATTGGTCGGTCTAGATCAATTTGTTACAGCTTCAACTTTAGCTGGGTCTATCTCAATTCCTTGCGCAGTAACCACATGACCAAGAAAGTCAATACGATCTAGCAAGAATTCACATTTTTTTGAATTTGGCGTACAACTTCTCTTTTCAAAGCGTATTTAATACCACTCTCAATTGCTCTTCATGTTGTTGCTTATCTTTTGAGTATACCAGTATATCGTCGATGAAGACTATAACGAATCGATCTAGGTATTGATGAAAAACACGATTCATTAAGTCCATAAACACAGTTGGTGCATTGGTTAACCCAAATGGCATCACTGTGAACTCATAGTGCCCGTACCGCGTTCTAAAAGCTATTTTTGGGATGTTACAATCCTTTATCTTAAGTTGGTGATAACCTGATCTCAAATCTATTTTTGAGAACACCGTTGTACCCTTCAATTGATCAAAAAGATCATCTATCCTTGGGAGTAGATATTTGATCTTTATAGTCAAATGATTAATATCTCTATAATCAATACACATCCTCATTGAACCATCTTTCTTTTTAACAAACAATACCGGCGCTTCCCATGGGCACTAGGTCGGATGAAACCCTTATCCAATAATTCTAGTAGTTGTGCCTTCAACTCTTGTAATTCTTTTGGTGCCATTCTATAAGGAGCCTTAGATATTGGTGTTGTCCCAGGGGTCAAGTCAATTGTGAATTTTACTTGCCTATCAGGCGGTATACCAGGTAGATCTTCAGGAAAAACATCCACGAACTCATTTACTACAGGTACATCTTCTATTTTCCTTTCGGACTGGGGTTTACTATTCATATTCAATAAAAATCCTCGAAAAGTATTCTTCCTCAACATCTTTTCTGGTTTCATTGCAGATATCAATCGGGGTAGAGTCCTAATTCTTGCTCCAAGGAATCGAAATTTTTCTTCTCCAGGTTTTTGAAATAAGACTTCATTCTTATGGCATACGATAGTTGCATAGTTTCTACCCAACCAGTCCATACCCAAAATTACATCAAAGTCTTTCATTCCCAAGATGTACAAATCTGCCTCTAGTACTTTTCCTTCAATCTCTAACTTAACACCTTTAATCATTTGATCAGTATTAATGACTTCGCCCGAGGGTGTACTAATTTCTAGAATGTTATTTGTTTCTACGCATTTACTTCCAGTCTTATCCATAAAAATTGTAGAAATAAATGAATGAGTCGATCCAGAATCCATAAGAACAATAGCAGCTATGTTGAATACTAGTAACATACCTGTTATTACGTCTGTGTTCTGATCCTCATTTTCTCCCATCAAAGCAAATACTCTGGCCTTTCCCTTCTTAAGATGGTCACCTTCTTTCTTCTTCTCTGGACATTCTCTAAGGAAATTGCCACTTTTACCACAAATGTAGCATAATCCCTTTCCTTGTAGACATTCTCCCAAGTGTCGCTTATTGAGGAAAAGTTTTGTTTGAGCTTGACCAAATCTTTACTTTCTGATTCTGATTCTGTCTTTGTCGTGACCTTGCCACTTTCTCTTTACAGAAGTCTCGGTGTTGGGTTGAGGTTTCTTTTCCAATCCTAAACCATTAGAAATTGCTTGTGCTCGACATACAGCTTCCGCATAAGTAGTATGTTGCTGGGCTGCCATGATTCCCTTAATCTCTGGCTTTAACCCCATTTCAAACCTTTTAGCCTTCGTCAGCTCAGTGTTTACCATGTGTGGAGTATATCTAGAAAGCTGTTCAAATTTTCTTTCATACTTCCCAAGTGGCAAATTTCCTTGCGTGAGTTGGAGAAATTCTACTTCCTTTTGATCCCTCAATGGCTGGGGAAAATATTTACCCATCAACGACTCCTTGAATTGACCCCAAGTGAGATTACATAGTTGTTCTACAGTTTTACTACGTGTTTCGGTATCCCACCAATTTCCAGCATCGTTAGTCAATATGAACTTTGCACATGAAACCTTTTGAGCGTCACTACAGTTCATGTGCTCGAAGATCCCTTCAAGTTTTCTCAGCCACTCCTCAGCTGCGAAAGGGTCACCTTTACCATCAAAGGACGGGGGTTTAAAACGATGAAACTGCTCAACGATCAAGCTCATGGTGTTAGCACCTCCTGTTGCATTACTAGGTGCCGCCTGAGCCTGTTGCCTGCCCAAGTCTTGCACTGCCCTCAATAAATCTCTGAACATAGTAGCTTGATCTTGTTGATGTCGTGCCATTTCCTTTAAGTAAAAAGTAATCTATCTTAAGAACTATTCAATCATGCTACATTCTTCCTATAGATCTTTCTAAGCCATGTCTGTCGTGTATATTATGCTAAGGCCAAAAGTTACGCATTAAGGTTTTAGTCATATGATAATCGTATCATTAATCGTATGATATGATTAATTGGCATTCTACTTTTGAATAAAATGATGCATAAGGAAAAGTTCATGAGATTATACAACTAATTAGCATGCATGAAAATATAAAAATATTCTTCATCTTTGCATACCTTAAAAATATTGGACAGTGGAAGATTGATGAGCATTGGATTCCACGGATCTCGTAACTTATTATTGTTATGTATATAAATTTTGTAAAATGGATTTTTTTTTTAAAAAAAATTCTAAAATGAAAGGATTTTTATAAAATTTGAAGTGGGTTTAAAACATTGTTTTCGTCTTATCGATTTGAATAACGCGCAACTAAAGAGGCTTCCAGGTGAGGAGGGGGGTCACACGGACCGCTTAAATCCCAAGCTCGCCTTTGACAGTTTAGGTCTTTTTGACAATATATTTTAGTTTTACGAATACGCAAATCAAGAAAACTTGAACAATGAATTCCTCCTAAAAGATTAAATACGTATAGCCCTTTTTTTTTTTTGAAAAAAAAATTGTTAATAACAACAATACGAAGGTAGAGTCAATCATGTGGTCATTTCATAAATTTACGCATAAAAAGTCCAAACAATCCTATTCTACATTTATTTTAATTTCAATCGAAGAAAGAAGGCAGAAATTTTGGTGTGTGACATTTCATTATAGTAAATAAATCCTTATCCAAAATAAATTATAGTAAATGAGTCAACAAATAATCATGTCCAAGAATAAACAGATAAACACGTTTGGACAACTATAGGCACATAACCCCATTTTATATTACGTTAAACAAAATTTCACAAAATCCCATTTAACTTCACTATTCCCGCATCACTGTTCATCCATGAACAGTGACTTACCTTTTTATTTATTTATTTATTTTTATACACGAGAGTAGTGACGGTCACTGCACTGCACCAAACAAAGCCAAAATAATAGTGACACAATTTGGATGGAGGTCGCTGTTCACAATATTATTTTATCATTATTATTATTTTTAAAAAAATATATAATCTCAAAGTGGAAATTGGAAAAAGTAAAATTTACTTAAAATGAAATTCCTTACAATATCTAGGCAGCGAAAAATATTTCATGCATTCGAAACTATTCACATAAAACAACATTTTTTTTTTTTGAAAATTTTAAGTCTACAGGATCGATTTTAGAACACTTAGCTCTGATACCATTCTGTAACGCCCCGAATTCTAATAACCCGAAACGTTACAAAACATGAATATACATTGAAATAAACAGTTTTAATATAACGAGAAATTCTGTAAAAGATTGAATAACATTTAATCAAAAGATAAATTTAAATATGCGGAATGTTTGAAAACATATCATTCATCCAAAAATTATTAGAACAGTTAAAACTAATTAAAAATTTATAATGCACTCACAATTAGGTCAAAAATGATTAACCCATTATTAGTTCTAGTGTTTTTGAAAATTAAAATATTTCATGACGAGGATCCGCTGGTCCAATAGCAAATCCATCCACTGCCGTCCAGCATACTAATTATTACCTGAAAATTGTAAATAAGGGGATGAGTATAACGAATTATACTCAATGAGATACTTGCTACTCCACATTCAAGTCAAACATGAAATTACAAATAAATTATCTTACCAACATAACATGAAAATTATCACACTATGACAAATGATAATTCTAGCAAGCGCTGCAAAATAACGTGAAGGCTAAATTGTGCCTTAAAATGTATCATGATTTCTCTCGAAGGAGCCTGAATTGAAGTAATTAAATTCATAATAACGTATTTGAAAAGATGTGGAAAAATCACTAATAGCATTGAGTATCTCACATTTTGAAGATGAAAATGGAGAATAAAATTGTAGAAATGTGATTGCAATTCCAAAGCCTTAAAAAATCTAAATAATATAGAGGAATATTTTAAAGAGGGAGAGGTAATGGACGTGTAGTAGAATGTGGTTTTAGTGCTCTATTTATACTGTTGAAGTCGGGTAATCACGTGGGGGAAGTGGAATTTCAGCCATATTTAAATTTGTATTTTATGCAATCTTCTGAGAAATTGATTCATAATTCCCGATTGATATAGTATGACTGGAGATTAATTATTGGTTTTCTGCCAATTTCTATATCAATTACAATTACAATATGGAAATGATAGGTATTACACTGCATGACTTTTACACGGGGACAGGGAAAACAAATCTGCCTCCTATTTGCATAATTTACTTTAATACAAACATCTTAAATTGTCAATCTCCTAATGGCTGAAAATTATAAAATGTATGCTTATTAATTAAATTAGAATTTCAGTCCAATCTTCCCAAAATTTGTTCCAATTAGGCGACACAATGATTACTAATTATATGGACACGTGAAAGTTGTAATGAAATGCATGGGTTACTCATGTACTAAAGTCTAACATCAAATAATTCAAATTCCTTTGATTTCCATTTAACTAAATTTGTAAGCAGGAATTACGTTTTAATTGATTACCTCTTAATTAAAAATATATAATTATTAATACTTAACATAAAGACTTTGTTTAATCAAAACTTAAAATTCTAATTTATTTAGCTAAACTAATGCTGGCAGTCAACTGGCGAAAAATCTAATCATTTAAAACTCTTATAACCATAATATTCTTTAGACGGCTAAAACTCGGGTTTAACTTGACCAAATAAAATTTTTCTTGAGTCCATAATTCGCCATTTAGTATGAGCTTCAAAATGAACCCAATATTGGTAGAGTAATTCTAACTCCTTCAATAGTTAACTATTTGGCCCATTTAATAAAGTATAAAATAATTTGATATTTTTTTTTTCAATTTGGTCCCTCAACTAATAAGATAACTATAGAGATAATCAATTAACTTGCATAAGAACTTAACCAAACATTGCATTCCTATTAAATGACAAATAAAAATATATGCGAATTTAAGTTAAAAATTCAGGATTCTACATTTGTCAACAATTGGAGACACCAACTTGGTGACACAATACAAGTAACTGCATATGATGGTATAATTGTCACAATACGATTAGAAAGAGATGATGGAAGAATATATTTTGCCGATAGACGGGAACAATTTTTTGACCATCATAACTTATAGGATGCTCATGTTTTGGTATTTGAATATAACAGAAACTCCATATTCAATATGACCATAGGATTAGAGGTCATATGTGACTCTCATGTTCCTGAAGAATACAATGTTTCACATACAGATAATCCTACATTTGAAATAACACTAACACCTCATCACAACAGTCATCAGGAAATTGTATGTGTCATCTTTAATATCTCATTCTATATTCATCTCTTTTACATAAATTTGATTCCAAGATCAATAATTTATTCATTCATGGTTTTCCAGTGTATACCAAGACGGTTCTCTAGATACCACCTACCAAGAGGTGTGCGAAGTGTTCAAATCGATGATTCTTTACATCACAACTGGAAGTTCGCCACAAATTTACGACCAAACAGTTTAATAAGACGTATGACTATAGGCTGGGCAGATTTTTTTACAGAAAAAGAACAACAAATGAGTGATACACGTGTTTTCGAATTTTTGAAGAGTGAAACCCAAAGTTTATCATCTACAAAAAAGACCATATTGGTGGAAGTTTGACACGTCTATGAGACATTACTTTCTTCTAAATGAATTTATATACACTGAAATTTTTTTTATTTTCGTGTTAATCTATTCTGTTATTTCGACACCCAATTCTATTTACTCTCTTATTTACCAACTTATTTCATCCACATTTTAATGATTCCCAAATATCTAAAATTGAATGATACAACTCATTCCTTCATTGGAACTTCTTAATTGAAATATAATGTTCATAAAAAATTTGCACACACATTACTCAAATAAATACATTGTTCCACCAAAATATTTATTTTATATTTACTTATATAGAAACCACCATAGGCGTATATTTCATTTATTTTATTTTATTTTTTTATATTTTGATATGAATCCATTGCATACCCCCACCAAAAAAGAATAAAACATTAACAGCAAAAATTCAAAATGAAAGCAATTCATACAAAATGCAAGAAAAAAATTCAATCAAACTCCGTTAAATGAAATTGAGTTGCAAAACATCCAAAAATTTCAATAAAAACAAGAATAAGAACTAAAATTCAGAACAACCAGACCTCAATCAATCCATACAAAATATACAACAAACAATCCTAGTTCACTCCAAAGTTTGTGTACAACAAATCAACCTCAACATTGAGGTTTAACTCTATACAAGAAAAATGAAAAATCAAATCACATGAAAATAGATTTCCCCCTTAGGAACCATTGCAGGAAAACCTCTAGATTTCCCACACGTTCTGCTTTTGCCTTATTTTCTAGATTCAACGACGCCATGTGTGTGGTGTTGTGATGCCACACATTCTACTTCTTTCGTGCTACATAACTGGGCATTGCGACGCTCGTTTTATGGTGTTGTGGTGTCCGATTTTTTTACTCTTTCTCTCATTTTCTTCCATTTTTTACATCTTTTTTCACCACTTCAATCAGCTTATATCATAACATCAAAATACAAATAAATATGTTCTAAAAAAATCTCAAGAATAGCTAAATAACAAGCTAAAGTAATATTAAAACAATGAGTGAAATGCACTCATCAAACACCTCCAAATTTAATACTTTGCTTGTCCTTAAGTAAACATAAGCACTAGAAAATAAACTAACGAAGACAAACACAACTAAAATAAACAAAACCACGTAAAACATATCCAGTTAGATATCTTGCCTTCATGGCTCAGAGTTGAAAACATTAAATTAGCTTTATAAATCATTTCAAAGTTATAATGCACAAGCTAACTTCTTACATATTCAATGCAA